CAGTGTAAAACATTATCTACATACTGCATTAGTTTAGAGCCAGGGAGAGACAGAGAAAGCATGACTGCTGTGGGATATTCTGTATGGTAAATGTGTTGCTCTGATTGGTTAATAAACAAAACACTGATTGGCCAGTAGCCAGACAGGAAGTATAGGCAGGACTAACAGAGAGGAGAATTGAGGGAAGAGGAAGGCAGGGAGAGAGACTGCAGCTGCCGCCAGGACAAGGAAGATGTAAGGTACCAGTAAGCCACGAGCCATGTGGCAAAGTATAGATTAATAGAAATGGGCTGAATATAAGAGTAAGAGCTAGACAATGATAGGCCTGAGCTAATGGCCAAGCAGTTTAAGTAATATAAGCGTCTGTGTGTTTATTTTATAAGTAGGCTAAGGGACTGCCGGGGCTTGGCGGGACCCAGAGAGGAAACTCTCTAGCTACATAGGTCAGAGGCCAGAGGCTGACCAAATAGGTGTGGACTGTCTCTGAATCCCTGTGGCAGAACAGTCCAGGTCAGCTGTGTGGACTGGTGAATGTCAGGGTCAGTCCAGGTGAAAGCAAAGATATTTTGAGACTGAGGACTGAGAGGAATAGAAAAGAAGGCGTCTTTGAGATCTAGAACTGAGAAGTGAGAGGTTCCTAAAGGGCTAGTGGACAAGAGGGTATAAGGGTTTGGCACTACAGGATGGAGGGGGACCACTGCAGAGTTAATGAGCTGGAGGTCTTGAACCAGGTGGTAGGTTCCATTAGACTTTTTAACTGCAAGTGTGGGGGTGTTAAAAGGCGAAGAGGTTAGGCGGAGCAGCTTTTTCCTGAGGAGGTCAGAAATGATAGGCTTAAGTCCTTTTAGTCTCTGGAGTGAGAGAGAGTACTGAGCTTGGGCGATATAACTGGTAGGGTTCTGTAGCTGGATAGTAGTAGGCTGATGGTGTCTAGCGATAGAAGGGTTTTGGGTATCCCAGACTTTTGGGTCTACCTGAGAGGCTGGCAAGGGAAAAGAATTGTTAGAGTCAGTAGTGTGAGTGGCTAGGAGAAGGAGGAGGGGAGCTGCTGGCGTATCTGGGATGAGGCAAATGTGTGGAGCGAAAGAAATGGACACTCCTACCTTAGCTAGGAGATCCCTTCCCATTAAATGTACAGGGCAGCTTGGCACCACTAAGAATGTGTGTGTGAGAGGGATGCCTCTGAAAATGCAATTTGTGGTGGTGTCTGATGAGGCAGATAAGGCTGTCCCCCAACCCCGACAATAGGGAGACGAGAAGGAGAGGTAGGCCCCCAAAACTCTCTCAGGACAGAGTAGGTAGCTCCAGTGTCCAAAAGGAACGAGATAGGGCACCCATTTTCTTTTATTACTACCCTAGGTTCCCTGTGTGAGATGGGAGTGGCCGGGGTGGAAACCGGGCAGCGTCAGTCCTCGCTGTAGGCCAAGCCTACAAAGTCAGCCAGAAGGTGGTCTTTGTCTGGTGTTCCTATGTCACTTGGGACATTAGGACAGTCAGCTGACTAGTGACCCTTTTGGCAACATTTTGGACAAGGCCTTGTCGATGCCCTTCCTGGGGCGGTGGTGCAAGCCTGGGCCCTGTTGCCTTCTCTCCTGCACTTGAAACAGGGACCAGACAGCTTTCTGGGAGCCGGATGGATGGTGCTTCACAGCATCTGGCAGTTACTTTTCTGGGCTTTTTTATCTCTCCCATGGTACACCTTAAATGCTATCACCAGCACATTTGCCTGTGGGGTCAGAGGGCCATTCTCTAAACGTTTAAGTTTATCCCTAATGTTGGAGAAACTGTGAGACAAAGTGGGTCATTAGGAGCTGCCTGCCCCCAGGGGTCTCTGGGTCTAAGCTAGTGAACTGAAGTAGAGCCTTGGTGAGCCGCTCTAAGAAGTGAGACGGATTTTTGTCCTTATCTTGCATTATCATTTTTAGTTTTTCATACTTTAGTAGTTTTAGGGCAGCCTTATGGAGGCCTGTCAGGAGACAGGTAATAAACCTATCTCTGGCTAGAGAGCCACCCTGGGTGTTATAGTCCCAGTGTGGTTCTTGGTCAGGAACTGCCTTGGCTCCTGGAGGATGTGAGGGGTTAGTCTGGTGAACATTGTCTGCATGAGTTCTAGCCTGCTCTCATACCCGCCTACGCTCCTCAGGAAGTAAATTATTAGAAAGTATCATGTATATATCATGAAAGGTGAGACTATAAAATTGAGTTATATATTGAAACTGTTTAATAAAGGAAGCAGAAGAATTAGAAGTATAAGAACCCAGCTTAATTTCTATCTGAGAGAGTTCTGTGAGAGAGAATGGAACATGAACCGTAATCAGTCCATCCACACCAGGCACCTCTCGCAAAGGAAGAATAGTGGAAGGGTTTAGATGGCTGGAATCAGGCACTTTAGCAGTTCAGGAACGAGGAGTCGGAGGAGTGAAGGTTGGAGCCAGGGCAGGGCCTTTGGAAACGGCCACTGCTGAGGAAGAAACAGCTGCTGCTGAGGAAGAATCAGCTTTAGAAGAAGAAGAATCTGGAAGAGGAGCTGAAGGAACAGTCGCCCTAGGAGTAGTGATGGGAGCTGGAGGTCGGATAGGTGGAGGTTCATTAGCAGGATCTAGAGTCAGAGATTCCAGAGTCAGAGAATCCTCCGGTTTAGGCATAGCTAGGAGCATATGAGCAGGAGAGAAGGAAACCAGAAGAGACGGTTTAGCACTCAGAAAGAAGAAAGCAACTCTTTCCTTTTGCCTGCTCGCTGAGAGAAATTAGATAACTCCTGTAAAATATCGGGATCTAAGGAGCCGCTTGGCAGCCATTTTTTGTTATTTTCTAAAGCATATTTGGGCCATTTCTTAGTACAGAGACGGATAAGCTTAGGAATCTTTAAGTAAGGCATTAAGCTGAGAGGTTTTAAAGCTTCAAGAAGACAGTCTAATGGAGAGGAAGGACTGATAGTGTTGGAAGCCTTGTTTCCCATGTCTGCAGCAGAGAGGCAGAAAAATGAAAAAAACAAAACAAAACAAAACAAAACAAAACAAAACAAAACAAAAAAACAAACATGATCCGGAGCCAAGGCCCCAGGCATCCCCAGGGCCAAGGACGGATACTGGGCACAGGCTGCTAGACGGCTTGCCAGCCGAAAAGCAGGGGCCCTCGCTGTGTGAAGCAAGGAATCCCTGGGAATCTGGAACAGTGTCTACCACTTTGTCAAGCTGGAAAAAAGTGCCACCCCCACACAGCCCCCCAGATCACACCCAACGGTGGTGGTCCAACCGCGAGGAATATCTCAGGCTGCAGACGTGGGAGATGGCTAGAAATTTAGGCCTGTGATAGGGGCCAACCATCACCAATAAAGACCATGGCTTTGGGTTCCCCCGGTTTCAAGAATACATGTGAGGTGCCGGACACTCAACGGTCGTTCTCACAGATTTAGGAAACCGTTTACACTGGCCAAAAAGTGGGGAACTCGCCAATCAGAGAAGCTGGTGTTGCGTCGAATTTTCATGTGGCCAGGCAAATGGACAGTGGAGCAGTCCCCGGCTCTGTTGTGCAGAGCCAAGGAAGGTGCAGGGCGCCCGGAAGCGCCCGCTTAGTCCTGACACCAGATGTTAGTTATTTGGCGGTGCTCTTACCCTGAGAGGAAATTTCACGAAACATGACAGAATCCACAAACAAGAGTTTTATTAAGGTAAGAGAGAGAGACAGATGTGCTCAGGCCTGCAGAAAGACACGTGCATAAGGAGAGAAGCCGGGGATGTGGAGACAGCTTATTAAGGCTGGGCTGCGCATGCGTACACAGGGCCATGTGGCTACTCAATGCATGCGTGTAGATCACATGGTTGCACAGCGCGCTTTACGCAACCATGCAAAGCCATGGGGTCCTGGTCACGTGAGACGTTTTTGACCTGGAAATAGCTATTTTGACCTGGAAATGGCTATTTTGATCTGGAAATGGCTAGGTGGAAGAGTCTAGGTCTGCCGGACATGGGGACGTATTGTGAATCTCTATCACCGATATTGTGAAAATTGAGATGAGGTTCTTGCTGAAGGGTTTAGCAGGGAGAACAAGTGGTTATAATGTGAATCACATTATCAGAACAATGAAAACCAATTCCTGAAGAGGCAGAAAGTGAAAGTGGTTGAGGGGAATTGAGCATACAATCATAGTTGTAATCCTTGCTCTGTCATGTGTTCTCAGGCTTGAGTGAACCTGCTCATCACCCTAGTTGTCTGTTCATGATATGGACTCCTTGCATTGACTCTCCAGTATTGTGATTCAGTGTCTGAGAAGACTGTTGATGGGTCTACATAGTAACACTCTAGTGGTCCCTGGACTACCGATGCCCCACACTTTCAAAGTCCTAGTCTTTTAAATAAAAGCCTGGAGCTTTGTTTCTCTATCTGTGGTGATATTTTAATTGTGCTGAAATGTGATATTTTATTTGTATGTTAATAAAGTTTGCCTGGGGATCAGAGGTCACAGTCATAAAGAGAAGTTAGATGGTAGTAGCACATGCCCTTAATTTGATCAAATGTCAGACAAAGTCTCTGTGTGGTCAATGACATAGCGAAGCATAGTGACACATCTTTAATCCCAGTACCAACCATAGAGACCTGGAGGTCTGTATAGACAGGCAGTGACAAGGAAATTTTGTGGCTGGGCTTAGAGCCAATGACAAGGCAGAACAGGAAGGCAATAAAAGCACAGGTCAGACAGGAAGAAGCTCTCTCAGGGGAAGTTACTGTGTGGTGGTAAGCTAAGGCTAGTCGTGGCTATTTGCTCTGATCTCTTTGGCTATTACCCCTGTATTTGGCTCTGTGTTTCTTATTTAATAAGACTGTTTAAAAATTCGTCTACATCTATCGAGTGCATAATACAAGTGAGAGGAGATGTTTTTAAGGAAAATTCAACTGAAATGGGAACAGAAAGTATAATAACTTCAGGAATAAAATATTTTGTTGAGAATTTCAAGTTTTCAATGTTCCAGTGACTTATGATTTTCTCTCTTTAAACTTAGGATATCTATGAGGGGACAGACAGTCATCTTCTCCATTAATCAGGCTCAGTACTCCATCTTCAGATTTTTTGATAGCCTCACCTTAGTGGCCTCAGGAAAAGTCATGTATCATGGGCCTTCACAAGAAGCATTGGAGTACTTCAAATCCGCAGGTATGGCTGGCTTTTGCTGTGAGAGCACCTTCATTCACAGAATCTGGGAACAGAACAGGGCTTCTCAGGAGTACTGCTTGACCTTCCTTCAGAATTACTGTGTGGGTTTCACCATTTTAAATACCTTAGGTTAATTTGGTGACAGGATTTTGTTAGCTGTGCAGCACAGGCTTGTGGTTCAGGTCTCTTTTCTTTCTGCTGTCCTGTGTCACGCCTGGGTCACAGTATTTTTCCTGAGCCTCTTGTCCTGCTTCCCAGTAGTGGTGACTCTCTTAATTAACATGCTGTCCTCAAGTCCAGTTATCTGTCACTGGAACAGCTTTGGAAAGCCCAGCATCATCCTTTTCTTGCTCACTTAGCACATGGTGTTTTTCAATTTTCCCCTAGTGTGGTCTGACTCTGAGGAGCTGTGGAGATGTTACTTAAATTAGTTGTAACCTTTCAATTCAGGTATAGGCAGTGCTTGCGGGTTAGAGTGACTTAAGTCTGGCTTCTGTGGACTCATGTTTTTGTGCCTGCCTGTTTTTTTTTTTTTTTTCATATTTAGATTAGAGGATGAAATATTTTTTAATGATTCATTCTGTCAGTTTCATTTTAGTGAAATACAAATATACTTATGGATGATTATATCTCCAAATATAGGTTTAAATATTTGCTTTCCATCACTCTGTAACAGCCTGAGAGACCAGCTCCCTGAACTGCACCCAGGGTTGCAAAAAGAATGCTTTCAGAGTAGCAGGACTTAGGAATAACTCTTATTTATCTGAGGGAGTCAGACTCACACATACTGAGGAATTTTCTTTATTTTTCTTTAGCTTCTTCCTCGTTCTTTGTTCTGTCTCCCCTTATATCCATCCCATGGAAAGTAAAAAATGTTACATCTGAGGGCATGATTAACCATGGCAATGCCCACATGCAAGGTTCAGGCTGTGACCTGAGGCCGGGGGCACAGTGCCCAGTAAGACAAGCTGCTGAGGAATTTTTAGGGAGTAGGTCTTTAACAGCCAGACTTATCAAGCAGGAAACTGGCACCAATGTTGCTTTGTGTCTGGCCTTGGTTCTATAAATAGACACCCGGGAATATTTCCTTGTGTATTTTCTCTGGAGGTTTATCTTAGGAAGCATTCAGTCTAGTTTGAATTTGCTCTGAGGCTCAAAATCAGCCAATTGTATGTAGCATGTCTTAGAACTGAGAAGATATTGCTGTTTTCTTTATGTCAGTTTGAAATAAAGAAAAAAACAGGGCCTAAGTATCTTATAGTCCTTATGGAATAATAGATCTAATTTTGAAGCATATCCTAGTGTATTTTCTACATATCAAAATTATACAGCTTAATGATGGGTCATCTTCATGCAGGCCACAGATATAAGTGACCATAAGATTGAGATGTGATCATGACATCACATGTACATATTGTATGAGATTACATATTGCAGTGCAGGTATTGGGGAGATACCACAGATGTTTTTGCACATGTGGAATTACAGACAGAAGCAACAGTGTCATAGGCACTGGGGAGAACACCCACAGCTGTTTTTAGGGAAGAAACATAGTGGCACATGAGAAAAATTACAGACAGATGCACCTGGCTTTCAGAGTCTGGGGCCATGAGCCTTGCTTAGCGAGATTCCTCCATCAGAGAGTTATTCACATGGAGGGTTGACACCTGAATTATTAATTACCATTTGCTGTATATTTTTGTGGCCTCTGTAAAAGCCATTGTACCAGCAGCTCTCAGTATCACTCTTTGGTTTTGATTAATCTTTGTCATTTGAAAGTGTAAACGTATGTGAGTCTTTGGAGTCCAATAAAAATTTAGGCCAAATTCAAAAGACTGTTTCATAGAAAGAGTTCACATATGTATGTAGAACATACACATAAACATACATATATATTCATAAATGTGTATATTACATATATGTTTATGTTGTACTGGGGAGCAGATATTTTTGAAATATTATGAGTGTATATGCAAGAGGAAAGGATAAGTTAGTGGGGGAGGCAAGAAGAGGAAGAAGCTCTTAGATTTTTTCTCCCCTCCCCATCCCACTCTCTGAAAGAGGGTCCTCAGGTTTGTGTTCATGGCCAACTTCTTTGTAGGTTACGAATATGATTCCCACAACAACCCTGCAGACTTCTTCCTGGACATCATTAATGGAGGTTTCTCAGCTATATTAGACACAGAGGAAGAAGGCCATGATGGTATGTGAGTCTTCTAGAGTCATATTTTTTTTTGCCTGATTCCATTAAAACATAGTAGTATTCTTCAATAGAATATAGCTCATGTTAATTCAGTGTCCTAAAATTAGCTAATGGAGTTTTCTGTCTGTTGTGTTTGGTGTTTTATATTTAAATTATAATAGACCATTTATATGATACTGTCACTTGTAATGGAAATTTCTGTTAGAAAGTAAATGTACTTATTTTTTGTCATATTATCCTTGTTACTGTTTTAGATGTGGTTTGTTTATGTAGCCAGGCTGGCCTTAAATGTGTGCTCTTTCGACCTCACCTCCCAAATATAGGTATTACAGGGTTATGTCACGATGTCCGACTTTGTTTATAACATTTTAAAAACATGATACTTGGCAATTTATACATTTGCATACACATTCACATGCGGTAGAAAGTAGGGACCATTCTTTTATGTTACAAAGCATAGATCCATAAGGGAAGGAAGACTTTGTTAAGACTTGGGGTCCAGATGGGAAAAAACCATTCAGTTTACTTGTCCATGGGATAATGACAGTAGTCAGGGCAGTTAGGGAGACTTTTCTAATCTGTTAAGGAATTACACAGGAGTAATTTTATTATGCTCAAAACATGGTGAGTTGAAGATGTAGCTCAGCTGATAGAGTCCTTGCCTCAGATGCACCAAGACTCGAGTTTGGTTTCCAGCACCACACATAACTGGATATGAAGTGCTTGCCTGCCATCTCAGTCTTTGAGACAGACACAGGAGGACCTGGAGAAGTTAAGGTCACCCTTGGCTTAATAACAACTTTGAGGCCAGTCTAGGGTACATCAGACTGTCTCAAAGAAAAACTGGTACAGAATTTATGTGTTTTTCATGAAAAATGTCACAGAAAAATCAGTTAAATTATTGTCTGCTTCTTGTCTTTGTCCACTTTTATCCCTAAGCTGACAAGTACAAAGAGCTTTCTGGGAGACAGCACCAAGTCACAGAAAAATTAGCCAACATGTATGCCCAGTCCTCCTTATACAGAGAAATGAGAACTGAACTGGATCCACTCTTGGGGGAACAGAGGACAGGGAGGAGCTCAGCCGTGGAGGAGATCACGTGTGTCACCCCTTTCTGGCATCAACTCAGATGGAATATCTTTCATTTATTCAAAAATTACTATGGTTTTCCAGATGTCACTATGAATCAGGTAATCTGATGAACTATTTTAATTGTATTGTGAAAAACTCAAGTGGGAACAATTTGTTTCTGAGTCAGTCTACTTCAGGTCACATTTGTCTTCTACTGTTCCATATATTTATCATTTCCACTCGGCATATATTCAATAAAGCAAGTAGAACATGATTAACTTTTTACTTATTGAAAACATTTTTAGTGGTTTTTTTTTTTTATTTAGAGGAACTAAAATGACTAATTTCAGTAGGAAATTTAATTCAGGGAAGTCAACAAGAAATTCAGCACACCTGGGAGTTCCTCACCCCTGTCTACTTTAATTCACCAGTGCATCCTGCAAGTTCAAAGTCCAGGAATGAGTAAGGGAGTCAAAGGCTTTTGTCCTGCTGTAACTTTTCATGGGGTGGATGGATGGTAACTGAATAAACAGATAAAACTGTAGCATGTCAGATGAAAGAATGGACTTTGGAGGAAGTTTAAGTAGGAAAGGTGGAGGTGACTGGGGAGGGAAAGGGGGTTGATCTGTAGCTGAAATCATGAGATGAGGAAACAGGGCCATTGATCCCCTCTGAGGAACCTGTGCATGCACTGCCTGAGAGATGAGCCCATTGCAGAGTGCTGTTCCTTATTGGAGTCCAGTGTGAAAGCAGAAGCCACTCAGAGTGCAGTTCACACACAGATAGTGACTGGACTGAACAGTGTTCTTCCCTGTCAGCTGACTGGGAACTGGGAGGAAGTGAGGTTCCACTTTTCTTTAAACAGGCTCTGTAACAAGGATCATCATGCCTTAACATTTTCTGTTATTTTAACATGACTGTCACACAGAAATGTGGTTCTTCCAGCTCACTGGGCCATCACTTATTCATTTATTTTTATTTCATGATGTTGAGGAATCTGCTGTGTTAGTGTTTGATCCTGGGGTCTCAGCCATGAGAGGACAATCACTCTACCATGGACCTACATCCCTGTCCCTGTAAACCAGAACTTATAGTCAGTTCTGCTGTTAGTGTGTTGTTATTTATTCTCAGGAATTTAGTTTCTATTGAACACTGAAAGGTCAGTGTTTTTGGCTGTAATGAAACCACTTACTTCCTAACATGTGTGCTGCCCTTTTCATATTTCAATGCTGCTTCTTTCCTTGTGTGTATGTGAATATTTTTACCATTTGAGTTGTACTGTCCGTTGCTCCAAACACTTTGACCCTATAAAAGAGGCATTTTTATATCCATTCTTATTGAAAAAAAATAAAAGATTCAATAGGATTGGAAAAAAGTGAGTTACATTCGTAAAATGGGATTACTAATTGTTCAACAGTGAGGCGATATCATGAGGTAAGAAGTGTGTGTGTGTGTGTGTGTGTGTGTGTGTGTGTGTGTGTGTGTGTGTGCTTGTATGTGTGTGAGTTTGTTAGCAATGATAGGAATTGAGGACCAATTTTCTAATTTTTTCATTTATTTTTTATTTATGGATATGTTGCCTGGATGTGTATCTATGTGTGCATAATGTGTATGCCCATGGATTTCAAAGGAAGGCATCAGATTCTCTGGAACTGGAATTACAGAAGGTTGTTAGGGGTCATTTGGTTGATGGAACTGAAAACTAGGTCCTCTGCAAGAGCAGCAAGTGCTCTTAACTGCTGAGCCTTATCTCCAAGCCATGGGATTTTGGTTTCTAATTTATCAAGTTACATGGAAGGATGCTTTCCTTAGATCATAATATTCTACTTTTAAAACATCATCAGAGGAATAATAGTTAGACTCCTCAAATAAGTTACAGCATCATGTAGCCTTACCCCTTTGCTAAGTGAAGCATCCTCTAAAGCCATTTTAACCCCAAACCAAAGCAGTGCAGGTCCTGGTGACTGTCTGCAAGGACTGAGTGGACAGAGGTAGATGAGGGTCTGGAGGAGTTGGCAGCTTAGATGAGACTTGAGCACAGGCTGCCCTGGCTGAGGTTGATGGAGCAGCAGTGACAGAGATGAGGGGCAATGGGGCATCAGGTGACCAGAGGACGCTGTCTGAACACTGTGGTGACAGCAATAGTGCTCCTTCCCACACAGGCACAGACTTCCCAGAGGAGACACAGTGAGGACCAGCTCACCCCTTCTTAGCACACAAGATCCCACTGTGAGGAACTGGGTTGTGAGTCATTTTCAGTTTTGTTATTTGGTTTGCAGTTGAGGGGATCAGGGCTAGGTCTAGTGTATGCTGTGCAGGGCTCTGCCACTGAGCTGTCCCCTGGCCTGGGTGAACTTGTTTCTAACTAAAGGGTAAAGAAAGACAGAGTTCTTTAAACCACTTGAAGTAGAAACTGCACATGTTTGCTGCACCAGAGTTGAGATCTCAGTTTAGGCGAACACTTTGTCTCTTACTTTGGTTTGTCCCCTAACCTCCCCAGGTGCCTGCCTTCTCTCCACCCTGTGTCATCCATGTTTCAGAACCTGAACTGAGCCCTTCACTGGCTGTTCCTGGTGCAGCACTGGGTGAAGTCTTAGCTTTTCCAGGGTCTGTGCTGTCAGAGCCTCAGATTGCAGAGACCTTAGTTTTCAGTTTAACATACAAGTAGTCTGTTAACATGTGTGTTTCATATTCTTCTAGGGACTCTGGCCAAATTATAGTGTTTACCTCACTGGAGAGATCTGATTAAGAAACCATATATATTAAATAATTGACAATATATAGAATACTTGTATTCATAATGGAAATTTGTTCATTTTCCTGTTTTCCTTTTGAAAGGCAGTTATCACAGCCATAATCTCTGTGATTGTGGGTACCACTTTCTGTGTCCTAAGAAATGAATGTAATGAAGTCCAGATCAGGTAAGCAAACTCTCATCTTGATTTTGAGAAATGCTATCACTTTGTTCAAATTTATATAAATTCATTAAGAATTGCATTTCCTAACAAGAACAGAGTAAATATTTTATCATGTGTTAGAGTGTGTTGGTACATTGAAGGCTGAGTGCAAGAACTCACTTTTTCACATGTGCTTGTGTGTAGATAGTATGAAACTATACACAGCACACATGGATGTTTTACCAGTTTTAGCATATGGAGTAGTTTCATGTTATGTGACCATCACCACACTCTAAATGTAGGGCGTTTTTCCTTTTCCCAAATGGAATCCGATATCTCTGAAAGAAGTCTTCCCACACTACCCACTCCCAATTCCTGGCACCAAGCATTCTACTTTCTGTCATTGAATATGAGTAATGTAAGAGCCCTGAACTGGACTCTCACAAGTATCTGTGTTTTGGCATTGTTTGGGTTTTGTTCTTTTTTGTTTTGGGTGGCTTTTTTCCATTGGTGTGATGTCCTCAGAGCTTAACAAAATGTAACATGTGTGTGGATTTCTTGGGCTCTGTAAGGCAGAATAATTGTTCAGGGTGTGTGTGCTGTGTTGCTTCCCATTCATCTATGGCTGGAAATGTGGTTTGCTCTCACCTTTGGCTGCTATGAACCATGCTGTTGGGTGTGCAAGTCCATCTGTTTGAGCCCTGGACTTTTGCTCTTCAAGGTAGAAAGCTTGAGTTGCCAAATCACATGACCATTGGGTTAATTGTTGGAGGAACTGCTGCCCTGTCTCCAACTGCACTGTTCTATTTTATATCCTCACCAGCACAATACAAGGGCTCCAGTATGTCCATTTCCTTCCCTAAACTTATGTTCTTTCATGTTTTCAATAACTTATCTAAGAAAAAATTAATCACAATTGATTGGATGTTTTGTGAATGTCTGCAGTTTCCAATTTGTAATAGGAATGCTTTATTTTTATTTTAAAATTATTTATTTCTTTAGTGTGTGTATGTATGTGGGCATATGTGTCTTACAAACAGCATGCATGTGGAGGTCAGAGGACAATTTGTAAGAGCTGATCCCTCCACCACATAGGTTTCAGGTACTCAAGGTCATCAAGCTTGGCGGCAGTCATCTTTACTGCTGAGCCATCTCATTGGCCCTCATTTTTCCTTGCTGTTGAGTTACAGTTATTTTTGTTTCTGACATGTGAGTCACCTACGTGTAGCTGAAGTTTTCCTGGTCCTGCTTGGCTCCTGTGGCCCTATGGCTGCTTGGACCCTAATAAACACTCAGAGGCTTATATTAATTAAAACTGCTTGGCCATTAGCTCAGGCTAACTATTGACTAGCTCTAACACTTAAATTAACCCATAATTCTTATTTATGTTTGGCCATGTGGCTTGGTACCTTTTCTCAGTTCTACCTTGTCATCTTGCTTCCTCTGTGTCTGGCTGGTGACTCCTGACTCAGCCTTCCTCTTCCCAGAATTCTCCTTGTTTGCTTATCCCACCTATACTTCCTGCCTGGCTACTGGCCAATCAGTGTTTTATTTATCAACCAAATCAGAGCAACACATATTCACAGCACGACATCCCACACAGTAGAATTTAAAGGAGAACCCATCTCAGCATTGAATTATATGGTTACAGAGAAAAAGCCTAAGGTTCCCAGACAGCAAACATTAATCTACCTGATAACCTTACAGGAACTGCCAAATACTCAAGGGTGTGTGCAAGCTAACTGGACTGCTGTGGAAATGTTAGATTTGAGGAGAGTTAAGAAGCTATAATATCATATGATGTGCATTCCCATTTGTAAAGCAGATGTTAAACTCCTGGTCAACTTGTAATAGAACTACCCCTCAGGATTGGAAAGGTTTTGTTACAGCAGTCCTAGAGGCTGAGCCACAGTTACAATGATTGACCTGGTGGAAAGAGGAGGCAAAGACTATAGAACAACAGTGTAGGGCTAGGAATATGGAAATTTCCCAAGATCAACTTCTTGGAGAAGGTAATTATGCTGATATACAAAGACAATCTTTATGTGATGACCACACCCTAATTCTATGCCGCATGGTAGCCATAAATGCATGGGACAGAATTGAAGAATCAGAAAAGAAAATTAATCATTTACAAAAGTTATACAGGACCTAGAAGAAACGTTCATGGATTTCTAAGAAACACTGTCTTCAGCAGTAAATAGAATGATACCAAATTCAGAAGCTAGACAGATAATAATTGAATCTCTGGCTTTTGAGAACACTAATGCACATGCAAAAGGGAATTAAGCTGTTAAAGGAAAGGTCAGCACCCTTGGAAGATTGGATCAGGGATACAATTAATATTGAATCTTTTGACCATGATGGTACATGGATAGGAGAGGTCATTTTAAGAAATTTGCAGAAAAATAATAATGTCAGATGCTCTAATTATGGTAACAAAGCCACCTAAAACGGGACTATAAACAGAGCATACCTAGAAACAATGTTTCTCCAAGGAACAATGGCAACAGAATGCCCTTCCTTTCTGGATTATGCAGAAGGTGTAGTACTGGCAAACATTGGACTAACAAATGTAGATCAACAAGGGACAGAGAAGGCAATCCTTTGCCTTTGCCTTTGCCATTGAGAAACTCCCTGAAGGGCCTCTTGCAGGCCCCCATGGCAAATTCAGTTCAGTACTTTTTTGCCATTGTAGAAGAAACCCCTTCTCAGAGCAATTAAATGACAAAATGCCTATTGTAAAAAACCATACTGCTTGGGGTGATAGAATAGCTATAACAGAGAGAACGGAAAATTCAGGAGAAACCATAGAGCAAGTTTTTTTTTGCATACTTCTATAAGTAAACAAAGACCAAAATTAAAAATACAAATAAACAACATTCTCATGGAGGGTCTTGTAGACATAGGCGAAGACATCACAATAATTGCACGAGAATCTTGGCATCCAAATTGGACTCTCTAGCAGGTAAATGTTTAGCTGTTAGGAATTGGAACATTATCTCAAGTGGAACAAAGCACAAGATAGGTTGAATGAAGGGCATAGAGGAAAATTAAAGCCATATGTGGCTAATATAGCTATGAATTTATGGGGCCATCATCTATTACAACAATGGAATACCCAGATTAACATTCCTCCAACTTTAGAAACAAACCATAAACTAACACATTTTTGAGAAAAATATTAGAAGGTATTATTATAAAGAATAGCTACCAGCCATCCAGATTGTATAAGAACAAGACAAAATAGCTGCTGATCTTTCAAAGACACCAACAGCTCTACCTTTAAAATGGTTAATAAACATGGTTCAGCAATGGCCTTTAACAACACAAAAACTGCAGGCCTCAGAAGACTTGGTACAAGAGCAATTAAATGCTCAGGATATTGAAGAATCAACCAGCCCTTAGAATTCTTCTGTATTTGTTATTAAAAAGAAATCTGGTAAATGGAGAATGGTAACAAACCTAAGAGCAATTAGCAAAGTAATTCAACCAATGGGCTTTCTACAATCTGGAATTCCTTTGCCTACTCTGTTACATAAAGGATAGCCTCTTGTAGTTATCAATTTAAAAGTCTGCTTATTCTCAATACCTTTACAAGTAAAGGACAGAAGAAAATTTGCCTTCACTGTGCCTACTTATAATTCTCAGCTGGTTAAGAGATATCAATGGAGGGTTCTCCCACAGGGAATGTTAAATAGCCCAACTCTGTACAATATTTTCTATGACAGCTGTTGGAAGTAATATGTAAGCAATTTCCTAAATATATAATTTATCATTATGTGGATGATTATTTTACTAGGTGATTCAAATGCAGATACTTTAAAAAGAAGGTTTGAAGATGTAAAGAAAATTTTGCCTTTTGGGGAATTACTAATTGCTCCTGAAAAGATACAAAGAGGAGATTCTATTAATTATTTAGGATATAAAATAGAGCTACAAAAAATTAGACCCCACAAGGTGCAAATTAGGAGAGATCCATTACGGACTCTTAATGACTTTCAACAATAATTCAGAGACATTTCCTGTCTATGGACTATTGTTGCAGTAAAAACTTATGAACTGAATAATTTGTTCACAACTTTAGAGAGTGACAATGAATTAAATAGTCCAAGAGAATTATCAGCTATAACTGAGAGCGAAGTGACTTTGGTGGAAAAGAAAATACATGATGGATATGTGGATCCAAAGCTTGATTTCATTTTGGTTATTTCACCCTCTAATCATTCTCCTACAGGACGTTTAATGGAGAGGGAAGTTATTATATTGGAATGGATATTTCTACCAAGTAAACAAAGTAAAAAAATTAAAAACTTATGTGGAAAAAAATCTCTGACATGATTTTAAAAGGAAAATTGAGACTTTGTCAATTAGCAGGAATAGACCCAATAGAATTGTAGTACCATTAACTAATGATGAAATTGACAAATTATGGGCATAAAGTGAACCTTGACAAAGAACTTCCAGTAATTTTTTTGAGAGATTAGTAGCAAATATCCCAAAAGTGATGGAGTGATAGAATTCAACTTATAAAGAGAGCCGATTGAATCATGCCTCACATTGTATGGGAAACACTAATATCGGCAGCCCCGACATTTTATACAGATGCAAACAAACAAGGAAAAGCAGTTTACAAATCAGAAAATTAAGTAAAGTGCTTCAAAGTCTTTATAATTTGTTTCATAATTCAGAATTATATGCTATTCTGATGGTATTAATGGATTTTCTTGGAACCTCTCAACATAGTTACCGACTCTCAGTATTCTGAAAGAGTGGTATTATATATTGAGACTGCAGAATTTATCCCTGATGAGTCAGAATTAGCTTTGTCATATTTCAGTTACAAGATATAATCAGGAATAGGAAGCATCCCTTATATATAGCTCACATCTGATCCAATATGAGTCTGCCAGAACCTCTAGCACAAAGTAATGACAAGATCAATAAACTATTGATAGAAAATGTACTGGAGGCCTCAGAATTTCATAAAAATCATCATGTCAATTGTAAGGGTTTAAAAAAGG